CGAGGCGGTCAAGATCACACCCGTCAGGCAGAGCCATCGCTCCAGGAGGCTGATACTGAGCGGGAAGATCAGGATTCCATATCCTCTCTGTCATCTGGGCCTATCAGCGCACGCCTACCTCCGCGTTATCGGCGTCGAAAGTTGCGACATCGTCCTCTTGTCCAAATCGACTCGTCTCTTGTTCCGGGGCAGAGCTCTGGGAAGGTCGCAAGGTGCGCGAATCATGTTGGTCCTACATCGTCCCCGCCTGATATTTGAGCGTCAGAGCCGATGACATGTTGGAGGTCGCTGCATCTGGCGCCTACGTCTCGTCTGCGAAGCCCACGTCTAAACCTCAGGTCTCAGTAAGCTTCCCGGCTTCTACCTCCAGTGCACTTCCTGATTACAATTCACCGTCTTAGAATGCCAATGAATCCGGTGTTGAGGCACCCAGGCTTGACCGGGTGAGTGGGTCTCTGACTCTGTCCAACCTCGGCACTTCTAACGTTTGAAGTTTGTCGTACAGACGCCTGATGAACGACGTCTCTCCGACGTGAATTTGAGCGACGCTGATCCAAGTGTCGCTTCATCCAGTACCATTGGTTTATCAATGCCGTCGTCGTCGGATGCAGGCGTAGGCGCAGCCCATGACGCCGACTCCTGTCCTCGGATCAAGAAACGCGCCCGGAGTCTGCAACACCTTGACTCTGCAAAGTACATCTTGCTCTTGCGTAAGGCATTTGCTATCGACGTACGGAGACGCCGTGATGCAGCCAAACGTGCGACTCGTAATACTGGGCCTGGTGCTCCCGCCACCTCATAAACGCGGACACCAGTCTAATATCACGCGCCTCTTCCGCTTACATGCAGTATTGCAAATGTGAACCGCCTATCTGTACCGACACGCTCACGGTATCTTGTACACCAGAGGAAGGGTAACCTTGGAAGAAAGTACGATCACGATATTACAATACGAATACTATAGCTATGTCATCATGCTTATGAGTCTGGACGACTGCACTAGACACGCGCGCGTATTGGATGCGGTATAGCATTGATCAGTATTAGAGCATATCGTGGTCGCTTGCGCTCGCATTGCGCAGAATTAGTACTTCGGAGGATCTAGGAGGATCGGCCTCCGCATCTGAGAGTCTATATAGTCTGTGTATTGTCCCTTCCCGCCCGCGTCGAGGAGTACGTTGACGGAAGATAGCGTAGATAAGAGGTGAGAAGCCGAAGCCTCAATCTGGCGCGGTGAGATCGAAAATGTCGGGCGCATCTGCGGGTGGGTCCTCGAGCGCATCAGCCGAATCTGACGGCGAAGTCGTAGGACGCGCGTCGGAGCGTTTGACCTGCTTCCATCCTTCCTCCTCTTTCGTAGATACTCCCTCGCTGCCCTCCTCGTTCTCGCCCTCAGAATCATCGACTGCTATGCTTTCCGCCTCCATGGGGGTACCCTTCGCTTCAGCCTCGGCACGATCCCACTCGCTCCGAGCGAGTAGGGCCTGTACAACGTCGTCGATCCCCGCCTGCGCTGCCAGGTGGAGTGATGTGCGCCCGCCGACGAGTCGTGGTGCCATGCGCGCGCCAGCCTAGAGATTGTATACATCAGTATTAGCTTAGGCGATATGTGGAATGGAACAGACCTCAATCAACTCAAGCGCAGAGCCACGTGCTCCAGCCAGAATCGCGGTATGCAAGGGCGTACAGCCTGTGCAATCTCTCGCGTCAAGATCAAGCGGCTCCTCTCCGGTATTTCCAGCCTTCGATGCCTCCAGTTACTTAACACGAGCATCTGAGTCTTCGGCCTGATTCCGCTGTCGTATCTGAGCGATGAGAACCTTGAACTCGGTTGCTGCCGCTTCAACAAGCCGCTCTTGCACGCGGGCATATGTTTGAGCTGCCCCTTCGCGCGCGTCAAGTGGCCGGAATGAGCCCGTCACAGACTGACGGCCTGGATCGTCTTTGATGAATCTATAATGGAGGGTGCATTGGTCATCTTGACGCGATAAAGTACAAGAGAGAGGTATACGCACGAGATTTGGCCGCGAACATACGTGCCCCTCTCGTCTTCGTCCTTCCGCTGCTTCTCTTCCTCGGCATTCTCGGGCACAGGACACACGCGACAACAATTCTCCATGCTCTCATGTACAGTTCAGAAGAACTCCGGGTGTCGATGGAGCCGGCGGTTCTTGTTGCGCGAGTCGAAAGGTGCTGACAGTCTATAACTTAGTCTTTGTATGAAAAACAGGCTGAATTAGAACGAGACATACAGTTCATGCCTATACCAGTAGCCTAAATCAACTTCTCAATCCTCGCCGCGTGCCAGGTGGGTCCATATGGTATCCGCAACGCGCCGCGGTCGCAGCCACTCAGCTCAACGCCAAGGTCAGTGAATGGGCCTACAGCGTCCTTATGAGCATTGACCATCCAGTAGACTCAATGAACAGATACCTTTAGACTTGTAGTCGTTCTTCTAGTGACCAGCGTCATCCAGGCTGTACCTCGACGCGTTCGACGCGTTGTTTCCGGGGCGACCTCGTAGCTCGGCGCGCATGCCTACGTATCCTGCGCGAGAAGGCGCGTCGCGCAAGTTCTCGAGAACAAGGAGGCACGCAAGACCTTGAACCCGACCTACACCCGCATCAATACATGTTTGGAAGGCGAGAATGAACGAGCGTACTGATGCTACACTCGAAGATCTGGGGGTCGATGTCACCGCTACGAAACCCCGGTACATGTATCTCGAACCCACGAGCCGCGTACTTTGCGGCGCTTGACGAATGTGTGCAGCTAATGCACGTGGAGACGCCAAGACCTTGGTCAGTGTATACGCGACGGCACAGCAGTCTACGACGAATCCCGCAAGGACCTCTGCAGGAGACGCGTATAGGCGAAGGACGATCTGGATAAGCCGATAAGGGTACTGAGCTGCAAGTGATACACATCAGCCTAAGGGATACAAGCATAGTAGTGTAGGTAGATAACTTACAGTGGATAGACACTACGTGCGCCGTGCGGACAGCCGTCACGTCCCAAGGGACTGCATCGCGTACGGCTTCGAAGATGTGCACGATGTTGTTCTCCGCCTACTTAATCATCCGACCGGCCGTATCTTGTAGAAAGTGGGCAAGATCCTGCTTGCACTTGGTCGTGTCTGTATAGAAGAGATAGACGCCGCTGCCTTCGCTCTCATGAAACCTTTGCCTAGCTCCTCTTGCTGTCGTCCGCGCCTTCCGGAAGAGGGGTCAGACATGCCTGTACAGCACCGCCGGCGACGGCGATGTTCGACCGGTCGAGCTCAGATAGTGCGCCTTCCGTGAAGATAGCCCAACTGCGTTGAAACTCTCCAAGGCTTGTCGCAGGAGCCGGAGTCCCGGATGCACGGCGTTCGGAGGGCTTCAACGGGAAGATGTGTTCCTTGTCATCGGTTGTGATCCGCGATTGAGTGGCCAGTACGGTAGAATCGCACGCAAAGACATCGAGAAGACCAACATGGGCATCGAAGAGGCGTCGGTTAGAGCGATCCTGGGCGAACAGTCGGTGTGATATCTCGGCTCGTATTCAAGAGCGAGGCAGAAGGCCGTGTCATGGTCGCCAGCGGCGAGACGCGCCAACAAGAATGCAGGAGCTTCGGTGTTCTGTGCGCCACGGGACATGTTACTGACGATTGTGTACTCAGCTGATTGTGGCGGTTCATGTTCAGGAGGCGCAGACAAGACGTCATATCGAAGGCAATTCCGGCAGTTGCCGCGGGTTCCCCTCCGAATCTGCAGTCCCTTGCTTTCACTCGCGTCTTCGACCCCTCTACGACGACGTTGCCTCCGAGGCTCTCTGCGAAATACCAGGACGATACGATGCCCTTTGCATATTAACTGAGACATGGGAACACGCGGACTACCGGATACGACGAAATGCGTTGATCATCCGCCAACAACCAGAACCTACCACGCGCTTGCCCTTTGAGTTGGCGGCAGCTCGTGTCATAGGAACCATTCGCGCCCGCTGACGGTCTCAAACCCATCCAAGGCGCTATCTATGTTGCATATCATAGTAATCTTACGCCAGAGCGCATACCACCCCGCGTGCCATACTAAGCTCATACGCACACGAACGAAGAGATCTCCGTGACAATTCGCGGCGCTCACCCATCGACAGCTTCGATGACAACTTTACGAAAGCGCATCTCCCTTAGCGCTCTGTGGAAGACTGGCATAGATCCATTCTCGTAAAGCCCTGTCTCTCATAAGGTGAGTCAAAGCCTGAACTCAAAAGTCTGAACCCTCCAGCTCACATTCCCTCCCACCGGCGGGCGCCACCCGGTTATTAACCGGTCATTGATCAACGGGCCAAGGTTTTGACCTCATACTCTCAGGGCAAATTTAATATATTCAATATAGCAGTATTTGTAGCTAGACTAGGCGATACAGACAATATAAACGTGGCCCATACATCGATATAGTAAGCTAAAGATGTAATGAAGACGGTACAGTACGAGTACGATGTCTATAGGCGTGAGGCGGCGGTCGGGAGATCGTCAAAGCAAAACAATGCCATGCAGGTCAAAAAGGCGCATAGGGCAAAATAGACCAGGTGAAAAATAAGAAGGTAAAATACCGTTTTCAAGGAAAAAAATCCCGCCCGATGCGGTGAAAAAGAACGACCGAGTCAAAATCTGGAGGGCAAAAATATTCCCCCGGTCAAAAGTCCCGCATGGCGCGCTCAGAATGATGAAAAAGCCAGGTGAAAATCTAGGTGAAAATCTGCCCTCCCAGGGCAAAACTGCCAAGTAAAAAATCAGCGCTCATAATGACGCTCGCTCAGGTCGAAACTTACCGAGCCGAGTCGAAATTAGATACGCTCGTCGTGTATAATCAAAGCGGATGTCTGTTCAATCGTTGAGTGCGCAGGAACGAGCGAGTGTAAATGCATACGACGTACCATTTACGCCAGTGCATCGTATCATGCAGGCACGGCTGGCCCCATCACCGTTCCCAGTGCCCACCCTTTGTCGAGTGTCTAGATACAAGGGACGTTAGCACAGCTGACACCGCAGTAAGAAACCAGGTAATACACGCACTGTGTACACTTACGCGAGACGGGAGCTGGCAGAGACGCCCTCGTGGGATGACGAGGTGGTGGAAGCAGAAGCCAAGAATGCCAGCGCACACGCTAGAACGCGTCATGGGGCTCGGCGCGTCGCGGCTATACTTTCACACGGGCTTCCTTACTGCGCGATGATCATTTCTCAATATCCTTCGGCGTACTTCCAGGTCAAGCAATAGCATTCATATATCAACACACTATATACACAGCACGAAATGCATGTAAGCGAACAACTACAGGAAGAGACAGGCACTACCACCAAGGTACGAAATCACACGTTAGACAGACCGAACGAACCCGATTCATGCAAGTGACGTTGAGCACCACCTCGCCCACGACCTCGCGCACGCGCCGAACCCACAGCATGCACAAACAAAAATGTCCCGCAATCTCCAGGCGTTGCAGCTGAAGCCCATGGTTGGAACGGCTTGTCACTGCGAGTTCCAGCGCGTCGAACCACCCCTCCAGGTGCTTTGGGCGGCCTGCGGCCATGAAAGTGCTGTCGAGGGCTGCACGAGTAACGTAGATGTGCGTGAGCGCGTTCAGCACCGGCTCCCGAATTGCCACCAGTAGCCCTGGGCCAACGGCGTCCTCGCCGATGTCGAAGCGCAGGGTGTCCAGGTCAGATAGCAGCGCCAGAGACGACGCGAGCTCGTTGACGCCGTCGCCATCGCCCCATGAGTCAAAGGGGTCCGCATCATCGGCCACAACACTCAGCTCAACGGGCAACAAGCCGCTAAGACCGAATAAAGTGCGAGCGCACCCATCCGCATACGAATCCTTGCGCTCCCAAAGCTCCTGACCCGTCGTCGAAGGCTCCGGCGGCCCCACCATGTGTAAAAAAAGGTACCGAACCTCCCCGTCCACGCCTTCCAGAGCGACGTTGTAGTCTACGCCATCTTCGACGCAGCGTGCAGTGATTACACACTCTGCTTGGGTAACATCGACGCCTATCGCTCGTACGATGGCGCCGACGGCGTCGAGAAGCTTCCGTCCTACTTCAGGAGCGGCGAGCAGGTCTTCTGCGGCTGCGCGCACAAATCCACGCAGCACGAGCGCCGCATCCCTCAAAGCGTTGAGATCCAATGCGCCAGCGCCAGCGCCAGCGCCCGCCGCACCCAGTACGTCGTCCAGGTCGAAGAGCAGCCCGTAGTTCCCGCTTCGACGGAAGGCCGACCTGACGAACTGGAACACCTTCTCGAGCTCGATGGCTCCCATATCCACAGCAGCGGTAAGGAGCTCATCCACGTGCTGAAGCGCGTCACGATTGGGCGGGCTGGTCGCGTTGAAACGAATGGTGACGCGGTGGAGCGACGGGGCCAGCATGCGCTCAAACGCGCGGCGCGTACTGCCGTCTACCTCGCTGGAGATGTCAACGGCGTCGAGTTGAGGTCGCAGTGAAAGTTGAAAGTTGTGGAAAATGTCAGCCCCTACATGTTGAAAAATCCACAGCTTCTATAACTTGCATGTCAACCTGCAAGTCATGCAAGTGAAAGTTTGGAAAACTCAGTTACATGTTTACTTGTAAGAACTTTCCCGCAGTTTCTCAAAATTCAAATGCGAGTCGTGTGTATGCGTAATGTTCAGGGCCAGTGGTGGAAAGTCTACTGTGGTGCAATACCTACTGTTTGGGTAGCTTAGAGCAAGACGAACCCGCTGGGCTTTTTGTGTAAATGCCTATCAGTGTTTTTGGTAATGCAAAACCCTAACACTAACCTCTAACCCTAACCCCTAACCCTAACCCCTAACCCTAAAACCCTAACCCTAACCCTAACCTTCCTAGTACGGGTGATAGCGAGATCTTACATAGGTTCAACAGCCTGCAATGACCCCACGCGGCTAGGCTAAGCGCGCTTAGCCTAGCCCCTTAGGGGTCATGCAGGCTTTATAGCTACAAGTACCAGTATACAATATGTGTATAGAGGTGTGGTACATTATTATATTTTTTATTCTATTGACTGGACTTCTTTACTGGCTGTACCAATATCTTTATGAATTTAGAGAGCTTTGCTTGGAAGGGCATATGTACCAATTAGATGATATTTCTCTTGTGGTCTAATAGATGAGTTGGTAAAGTGCTAGTGAAAGTTTACATGAGGTTGTGGGTTCTATTCCCTGTTGTGACATTTTTTGCAAAACTTTCACCTATTTTAGCTTTGTCAATAACACTTTGTAGGCCTCGTTATTGATAACAATGAGCTTTTAAACACTTCTACATTATTTACCACTGGAGTAAAACTGTATAGAGTAGCTATTGGGTGTATACAAGGCAGTCACAAAGAGGCCATATGCAAGTCATGGTGCACTGGATTTTCACACTTGCAGTGTGCACGAGTTTCCACAAACTTTCATGACTATCAATGTGACTTCTATAGCGGCGTCCAACAGAGGTAAGTTGACTGGGAGGATCAAGTCGTCGACGCCTTCGGCCTGTGGCTCTCCGTCGATCAGCGAGCGCACTGTAAGCGACGCCGCGGACGAGGCAGAAAGTACGGCCGCAAGATCTTGCCAGGCCACGTTCTCAAGATGCATGCTTCGTACATGCGGGCTTTGCAGAAGTATAGCCCCGCCAGCATCCACCTTGCGCAAGCACGGCGCAGGGATGGGATTCACGCCCGGCTGAAGCTGGGCGCTCTGGTCCGCTGAGCACCAAAAGATCAGGGTCTCGAGAGACGCGCAGTTGGTTTGGGAAATCAGCGCCGTCCAGTCGATTTTGCCAACCGAGCGAGTCCGGTGAATCTCCAAGTGCCTCAACGACTTCAGCTTGCTGAGGGCATGGCGAAGCTGATCTACCCAAAAGTTCGACACCACCAAGCGCCGCAAATTCTCCGCATCAAAGGCGATGGGCGAGGATATCTCACAGTCGATCAAAGACGGGGCCGTAGTCAGAGAGCGCCGAGCTTCAGGCAAGAGGTCCGGCTTGTTATGCTCGCTCGGACGCAGGCGCAGCACCTTCGCATGCGGCAGGCGGAGTCCTTGCAGCAGCTCGCCGAAGTCGCGCCAAGAGGAGCACGAACCCTCGGCGTGGATGGAGACGGCTCTCGTCACCTGGGCATCGTTGCGAGCCCACGTAGCAACGTCTCCGTACAAAAGACGCCTGGGCGCCTCGCCGGCGCGCTCGCACGCCAGCTGCCAGTGCGGAGCATACGAAAGCGAAGGAAGAATCCCCCCCCAGAGCTCATGCGTGCACATGACCGTGTCGTACCAAGCCTTAGACACACACATAGCGTTGAGGATCCAGGTAAGGAATTCCGGCCTTCCCCAGCCGCTCTCCCGTGGGTGGAATAGGCTCGGCAGGAAGAACATCAAGACCTTTGAAACGACGTCAAGCGACAGACTGCCAACCCCGAGCTCAGACCACCCCGCTGTCGCAATCAAGAACGAACGCACGGTCAGTATGAACCCGGAAAGAAAGAGCTGCTGAAGAACCCACCCATTGAGATGACCACGCTCGTGGAGGGTTCGCCCGCGAAAGGGAGCTCCAACCTGCAACGACGCAACGTTAAAGCGGTGCTCAACCGGATGCCATGTAAAGCTGCGCACAAAAGGGCCAGTGCGACTTCATCCTCAACGCCCTCGAAGGGAAGCTCATGCCTTCGTACTGTTACCGACATGCTCCCAAGCGATGCCGTTGCGAAAACGCACCAGTAATCCATGACTTCGTGGATGCAGGAAGAACCGTTCAATTCAGCAGGTGGGGAGATGAGCGGCGATGTCTGCTGGGTTTAGCTCCCCCGAGCTTGTTATACCCTTCGAAGGGCGCGCATCCGCGGAGCGCGTTGCGTCTGTCTGATTCGTTTTCCCCGCCGCATCTGCACGACGGTCTTACCGTAATCGGCAGCGTTGCACCGACCCAGCCCAACAGACGCACGGCGCAGCGCAGTCTTTCTCGGTGGAACGTTCGCGGGCTAAGTCACACATCGAGGCGTACGCCTCTCAAAACACGAGCCAGCCACATGTGCGCAGAATCCATTAATGCCACCGATAGGTTGCGAAGATCGCACGTAAGTGCACAATCGATCTCGGGTCAAACACAAATAATAAACAGGGCAAACGCGAATCACGCAGAGGCTATGCACGCGCCTATACACGCGCATAACTCCTATCACATATGCTCCGTCCCTCCGAGATGAAGCAAGAACCCTACGCAGCGGTAAGTTTGAGTTCTTGATCCATGCGACAGCATTGAATCCAATGAACATACCCGCTGAACCGCCCCGAGCTCATCTCGCGGCCGCTCTCCTCGGCGACAACTGCGCATTCGGACGCGTAGACCTAGACAACCACAACATCAGGCACATCAGTAGCATAGGACTAGTCACTTACAGCTGCGCCAGCCTTCGTCGTTCTGCTCCGCGCTCGATAATCGCAAAAAGCCCTGCGTACGGAGGGAGTGGCCAGAATGCGCACGGAGACCATCCCGGACCCTTCCACGACGCAATGGTCACCTCGGTCTCTTCGATACCATCTCCGGGCTCTGCGGTAGCTGGTGAGGTAGCGGGTGGCGTTGGCGCGAGGTCTGGCATTGAGAGACTCGAGTACACTGTCAGCTATTGTCGCGTAGTGATGGTAGTGACGCAACGAGTTCAACATGCGAGCCTCGAGGCCTGGATCTCCCTGGATTTGGAACACGCGCAAAACACGCGCAACTTCGCGCTCACGTGAGATTTCATTATCATCAGAGTTATTGATGGCATACTGTGCTGCCGTATCTACCAAGAGCTACCCCCTAACATATTCGCTACGCTTTCGGCCCACCTTCATGCCTTCAATGCTCTCAAGCAGTCCATCGACTGGCTCCGTGCAGGTCCCATCCGCAGAGTGAGTGCTGATGAACGTCATGGCCTGCAAACGCACGCCCGCCACAGTGGACCGCCACCTCATCGCCTGCGCGCGACGAATCCAGGCCTGCTTGTATGCGTATGCACGGACACCGTCCTTATAACCTTTGTCCGCAGCCCATCTTTCGGTGTCCGTCGTGAGCGCTATGGTCGCTTCCGGTTCGCGGCGTTTGTCCCACCGCTGCGCCATCGTCTCGTTGAAAGCCAACGACCTCCGCATCTCCTCGTCCAAAAGCCGCACCTCCTCAACCCAGCGCTGCGCACGCGCGCGGCTCTTGCACCATTCGACCATGAGCTCTGTGTACGGTCGTTTCAGTGGTGAAGTTCAGTGTCACTGCCCTAACGACGTACCAGCGGTGACCTTCAAACCCGACTCCCCGGACGCCGTGGTCCAGATCCAAGAAATCTGGCGCGTGGTATCGCCAGATCTTACAGTGCCGTTGCGCTCAGCAAGATAGGCCAGCGCTTGGTCCTCGGTGCTCGCCTCCATCTCTTTGATCAACCCGTCGCTTAAACTGCGGAGGTCGGCGCCCTTCAACTCCCGCATGGCATCCTCCCAAGCCCCTTTGCCCTCCAAAAGCTCGTACCGCTCACGGTGGCGTCGATAAGCTGCCGCCGCCTTGTCTATGTTCGCGCTCACGTTCTTCTGAGCCGTGAGCGACCGCGTGCTCGCCCGCTGGCCTTTCGACTGGCGGCGGCTGTGGCGGTACAGGCAGCCCCGCAGGCGCAGCTGGTGGCGAAGGTTCTCCAGCTCATCGTCCATAGACGCGTAGCGGAGCTTAGCTTCCATCTCGCGCGCAGCGCTTGAAGACGCGCTAGCCATGGCCGTCTTGGGCGGCGGCTGGGAGGGCATGTAAAGCCTCGCTTGGATCGCAGTGCGGCGGTCTGGCGAACGGTCTTCGCACGTCAGAGCAGCGAACGTCGACGCCATGCAATGCGCCTGCTTGTCGCGAAAGTCCTCGATCATGCGCACAAGGTTGTTTAAAGCCTGCGTCCGAGTGGTGTTTTGCTTCGTTGTTCGCGAGCCTTCGTTGTCGTCGTCCGCAAGTAAGTCGTCGCCGTCCGGTGCCGCCGCACCTTTAGTCAGCCTCGCCCTAGTCAATTGCTAGTAAGGCCACTGAGCCACCTCAATGAATGCGAGCGGCTTACTGTTCTTCTTCGATATCGAAGCCGAGCAAGAGGAAGTTCGTAAGGTCGGCCGTGCCCTCCTCGCTACCCTCCGCGACGTCGCCTGCTTCGTTGGCCAGTTTCTCCACCGAGGAACCCTGCGCCTTTGCAGCCGCGAGCCTGATCTGTGCGACCGTGAGGCCTGCGCGCAAAGCATGAACAAGCCGCCGAACGACATGGAGGAAAGCACTCACGCTCCTTTACGATGTGGTACGGGCTGGGTTTCTTATTGTCGCATTCCCAGTTTTGAACCTGCGCTTGCGTGGTTGCAAGCATCTCAGGATCCTCTTCGCGTATCGCTGCTGTGAGCTCTGTGTGAATGATGCATTGTCGCCGCGCCTCTTCCAAAGCCCTCTCCATGCGAGCCTTCAAAAGATCCGCTGCGTCGCGGGTAAGAGCGAGGTCGTAACGTCAGCAACAAAAACGAACCGATTCCGCACGTCTTCAGCCAGTTCCAATAGCCGCACATGTCGTCCATAGTATCCTGCATCGAACCGGGGCCCATCTCTCGCAGGCTTGAAGCGGCCGGGTTTGCTCCTGACCATATCCGCTCGCAACCTTCGCCATCCGTCGCGCCTGCGCCCACGAGCCACAGAAACGACCATTTAACTTGACAGGCCACCTTATGTGCGTAGAGGTGGAACTTCGGCACGGCGTATTTAACCTTGGACCAAAGAGACGCCGACGTTCCGGAGCTGTCCTTCATCCAAGACGCAAACTTTGCCGCCCCTGCGCTGAGGGCCTGGCCAGCCGGAACGCGAGCAAGCCGCTTCTCCAGGTTGACGCTCCATTGGCAAGCGATGTCGTACGAAACGGCCACAGACGCGCAGCGTAAGAAACCGAGCGCACACCCAAAGATGTAGTCCATGGACACGTATCTGAGCCGCTGGTCAGTTCTAAGCTAGGACGAACTCGTAGAAGTAGGCCATGACAGCTGGCAGGACGAGTCATCCCTGACCCTTTCTT